TCTCGGGATACATTCCAGGTCCTTGCTGCTTTTCTTGTAGCAAAGCACCCCAAACTGAACATAGTACTCAAGGTTTTCTACTACCGATGCTAATACATACTTAGCATAAAATTTCTTAGAATCACAAGGTTGGAAACGACCTACAAGATCATTTAATCCAACCATCTCCTCATCACCATTGCCACCACAAGCACTAAACCATATCACGCAGCACATCATCCAGATGCCTTTTGAACACTGCCAGGGACGGCGACTCCACCACCTCTCTGGGCAGCCATTCCAGTGCCTGAGCACCCTTTGAGAGAAAAAGTTCTTCCTTATGTCTAATCTAAAACTCCTCTGATACAACTTGCGGCCATTTCCCCGTGTCCTGCTCGTTGCCTGAGGCCAAACCCCCCTTCACCACAGCCTCCCTTCAGGAAGTTGTACAGTGCAGTGAGGTCTCCCCTGAGCCTCTGCTTCTCCAGACTGAACAATCCCAGCTCCCTCAGCCGCTCCTCATAAGACTTGTGCTCCAGACCCCTCACCAGTTTCGTTGCCCTTCTCTGGACACGCTCCAGGACCTCAATGTCTTTCTTGTAGTGAGGGGCGAAAATGGAACGCAGTACTCGAGGTGCAGCCTCACCAGTGCTGAGCACAGAGGGATGATCACCTCCCTGCTCCTGCTGGCCACGCTGTTTCTAATGCAGGCCAGGATGCCATTGTCCCTCTTGGCCACCTGAGCACACTGTCGGTTCATGTTCAGCTGAGCATCAACCAACACCCCCAGGTTCCTTTCCTGTTCACACCCATCCAGCCACTCATCCCCAAGCCTATAGCGCTGCATGGGGTTGTTGTGGCCAAAGTGCAGGAGCCAGCACTTGGCCTTGTTGAACCTCATCCCATTCACCTCAGCCCAGCAATCCAGCTTATCTAAATCCCTCTGAAGGGCCTCCCTACCCTCAGGCAGATCGACACCACCTCCCAGCTTGGTGTCATCTGCAAACTTACTGAGGGTGCACTCAATGCCCTCATCTAGATCATCAATAAAGATATTAAACAAGATGGGCCCCAGTACCAACCCCTGGGGGACACCACTTGAAATGGATTGCCAGCTGGACTTCACTCCATTCACCACGACCTGCTGGGCATGGCCCTGTAGCCAGTTCCTTACCCAAAGAAGTGTATATCTGTCCAGGCCATGGGCAGCCAGCTTCCCCAGAAGAAGCCTGTGAGGGACCGTGTCAAAGGCTTTGCTGAAGTCTAGGAAGACTACATCAACAGCCCTTCCCTCATCTACCAGTCTGGTCACCCAGTCATAGAAGGAGATGAGGTTGGTCAAGCACAACCTGCCTTTCACAAACCCGTGCTGGCTGGGCCTGATCCCCTGGACACTGCACATGCTGTGCAATCTCATCCAGGATGATTTGCTCCATAACCTTCCCTGGTACTGAGGTCAGGCTGACAGGCCTGTAGTTCCCCAGATCCTTCTTATGGCCCTTCTTGAAGATGGGAGTCACATCAGCAAGCCTCCAATCCTCTGGGACCTCGCCAGTTAACCAGGAGTGTTGATAGATGGCCAAGAGGGGCTCAGCAATCACCCCCACCAGCTCCCTCAGCACCCTGCATACGTGAGTTACCTTATTCACTGAAATAAAACAACTGATGCTGCGGAAGATCTGCTGTCACACTCCCCACGTGCCCTGAAAGAGTGGTGGTTCTGACAGCTGGGAGCTGCCAAAACAGAAGCTGCTCAAGCAGGTGCTCCTGGAGGGCTCATGTACCCACCAAGCTCCAGGCAGTGCTGGCAGGGCCTCCCCTCCATGCTGTATCTCAAGCCCCTGCACTCCCATTCCCACTGCTCCTCCCAGGAATCTCTTCCAGTAACTTCCTCCTCTTCTGGTGGGAGGCCATCTATTCTTTATCACCTGCAATGTGCAAGGTTGCTATTGTCCTATGCTACCACTGACCTTTAATTGAAATTGTTCTGTTTGATTCCTGGTAGCCACTTCCTTGAGGAATACCTCCTCCGCTCTCTGCACTCAGCAGACCCAGGACTCCTCCTAAGCTTGACTTCCTGTGCTCTCAGTCTTCTTGGGGGCCCTTCCCATTCCCCATGAGCCTGCTGCCATGAGGCTATGCCCACAAGTCCAACCACCCATTCTGCAGCAGCCTCTGCATCTCCTCTGCCTGGAGGTTCCTTTTATCGGTGTCCAGTGGTGGGCTTCTCACTGCCAAGCCTGCAGATCTCGCTGCCCAGACACCACCTCTTGCTGAGGAGCTCCCAGACTTCTACCAACTTTGTACTTACACACCCACTTCTGCCATTCCACTTCTCCAGTTTCATGTCCCACCCAAAATATCTAGTTCTGCCAAATGAAATGCCATTCGTGGTCCAGATTACATCTAGGAAGTGACTCTCCTGCAGATACAGTTCCTGGTAGCTTGTTTTCTTCCTAGTAATCACAGAATCACCAAAGTTGGAAAAGAACTCTAAGATCATCCAGTCCAACCATCCACTGACCGCCAATATTTTCCCCACTAAACAACATCATTTAATACAACATCTAAACATTTCTTGAACAACTCCAGGGACAGTGGAGTCCCCCTCCACTCCCCACTTCCTTCGAGAGCCCATTCCAATACCTGACCACTCTTCCAGAGAAGAATTTTTTCCTAATATCCAACCTGAACCTCCCCTGGCACAACTTGAGGCCATTCCTTCTTGTCCTACCACTAGTGATGTGGGAAAATGTAATCACAGAATCATTAAGGTTGGAAAAGACCTCCAGTTAATGTTGGGATCTCAGGGCAATCCAGCATCAGAAGGTAGAAAATGTGGCTCATGTCCATAAATATGAAAACAGATTGGACCAACATTGTATTTTTATCTATTGTTACTGGCACATGTAGCAGATATATTTTGGCTACAAAATTCTTAATCTGAAAGTCTCAGACTATTTCAGAATACTTCTTCACAAAGAGCTGAAGGCTGGTGATTGCCAACTCAACCCAAAGTCCTTCTGTGCAGATCACTTTGTGTCCTTACTCTGCCCACACCTATGTTGTATGAAATGACCGCAGAACCACCAGCTCTCCTCAGGTGCCCAGAACAGCTCAAAAAGCTGCTGAGAACTGGGAGTTGTTTGCAAGGCACTGGGAAGAGGGAGAGGCTGGCGAGTGTTCAGTACCACTCTGCTCAGCTGCCACACGCTGCAGAGTGAAAGGACTGCAGAAAATAGCAACAGCCACTGTGGGTTCAGTTATGAATCATGGGAGGGACCTTTCTGTATCTGGTGACTCGGTGCTATGGTGACAAAAGCTCCACAAACACTTCACAGAGAGTAAGGTCATGTGTTTTCTGTTACTCCTCACGTAGGGTAGCGCTGCCTGGGAATAACCTGTAGTGGTGAATTCCTTTGAGTTGGTCCTTTTTCAACTTTACTCTTCTAGAATGTGTTTTGCTGGGGTGACAGGCTATTTCAGATGCCATCTCTGATTCACTTTATCTGGTGGGCTCCTTATTGGTAGTTACCTGTGAGCAACACAGCCCTTGTCATGTTCTCTGGAGTCCCCATATCTGCCCTGAAGTAGTGTCAAACTTTGTACAGAGCCTAAATAGCAGCTGGAGCTATCCTGCCTTGTAACATTTAGGGGCTGACTCACTGCAAGCTTCATGCAGTGGTGGGACAATGGCCCTTTGAGTCAGTGTGTGCTTCTAACAGGACTATGACCGCAGAGCTGAAGTGGGAAGGGTGACTCCCAAAGCATCCTCTTCTTCATCCCTTTAGGTGTCCATGTAGAAAAGCATTTGGCACACTGGCTGTTCTTCCAATCTTTCCAAATTCTTCATATCACATTTGTTCCTGAGTCACCTTTAATCAATGCCACTCTTCAAATGTTTACAACGGCTCTGGCGGCTGTGCTGATATAGCAGATAGCAGCAGTAACCAAATGGAAAGATTAAATTCCTTGTGTTCACACTCCTAAAAAAGTGAAGGGTGAAGAAACGCTCTTTCACTGCCCCTGAGTCTGGTCTCTCTACAAGTACATTTCCCATTTCCAGACACCAAAGGAGCACAGAGTTCAGCGCTGACCACAACTCAGCCTCTCCATGCAGCTCTCTTTGACATTAACAAGGGATGCTACTGGGACAAAGTGATTTTTCTAGGTACCTGTCACATTCTGCAGGCATTCAAACGAACAAACAAAAACCATAATGCTCTGGATGTCAAAAGTAGAAAGGAGTTCAATTGGTGATCAGACAACTTGGCAAAACACGTTGACTTAGAGGTTTGAAATGTCAAGGTGGATTCAAGCTCCAGCTGAGGAAGTCTGGGGCAGACTGGGAGATGCGGGGAAGGGAATGGCACTGTTGACTTCTTGCCTCGGTGCCTGGGTGCCTTTTATTCTCTTTCCCTCATCAACACAGTTGACATGATGACTTAGGCCCCTTTCTGGAGCAAGCACACCATGCATTTAATACAGCCTCTTCACGTGCATGCATGGTCAATTTTCACTCCCTACACCTTTATCCACATTGCCCCCACCCTGTCTGCTCCATAGTTACATGATGAGGGGAAGCCAGGGGCTGAGAAAAGGGCTGGGATGCTATCAGTATGGCACACTGGTGGGTGCAGGGTCCTCACAGGTGGTGCTGGGTGGTGTCAGCAGGGGGGGCCTCCTGCTAAACCCTGCTGGCATTGGGTTGAGGATAGCAGCATCAGTCCTTGCCTCCATGCTACTGTGGTGCTTGCTTGTGGTATGAGGAGCTTGGGAGAAGTAATACGAATCCTGTTGTTGTGTTAGGCTTAATGACCACTTATTGGCCCATGCACTGTTGAGCAAAGAGACTCCCTCTTAATGAAGGTCAGAGTAAATAACAGTGTACAAATGATGTTTAATGGCTCAAAGTGATGCTGAGTCCTTTAAGATCAAGGTAAATGGTCTCTAATTATACATGGATTTATTCTTGCTCAAATGAGATTGACCAGTACACCAGTTCAGCCAGGGAAGACATTTATAAGTAAAAAATACATCATTTTTATTGAAAATGAAAAAAAATGCTTTGTCATCTTTGTGAAATAAAGGTTACAATGAAAGACTGTGTGGATAAATAAAAACAGATCAGTAATGTGCAAGTAACTAGTAGTACTTACTGTCCGTGTCTCGTCTGGCTGAGAAGATGGGACACACTACTCTAACTCTGCAGGTGGAACTACAGAGACCAGGAAGAAGGATGTGGCTTCTACAGTCACACAATGGCTTGCTTGTCAAGTACAAAACACCTGAGTGGAAATACACAAACACAAAAGCCTGTTTACAAATGGGAATAAAACACGAAAAGAATCAGCAAATTTTTCTGTTCCTATAACAGAAGGGTTACCTGTTGTGAGGACAAAGTATCAAACGTTGTTTAACACCTGCCATGTCCCTGACTGCCAGCATCACTTATCACGCCAGTTCCCCCTGGGGACACTGGAGGGGCTGTTGGCAGAAGCTGGAATCGGGGCTGTTTGTCAAGAAATGGTTTTATTTGATAAACTTGTTGGCACTTGGATTCCTGCTAATGGCGGAACTGAGGAACGAGCACATCAGCAGTGTAACCGTTTCTAAGCTGACTGCCACATGGTTTTCCCATTTTGCATTTATACTGTGCCGAGTGAGCTTCTCAGACCTGCTATAAACCCTTCCTTTGCTCTCCTATTGCTGGACCATGAAAAAAAGAGGCAGCTGCTTCCTCCAGCCTCTTTGTCAGCTCGCCTTCTATCCCACTATTTACCTTACTTCTTTACCTTGCAAACAGCTCACCTCTTGGAGCCTGAGCTAAGCCCAGCCCTTTTGTGCCCTGCAGTCATCGCTCCATCTTTAGGGGAAAGCTGATTCCCAGGAATGCTGTGCATGCACATACCTATCTGGGCGCTGCACCCACACCTGCCCACCCGCTAACCCAGCGCCCGCTGGCCCTCACAGCCACATTCCAGCCAGCAGAGCTATTGCTCACTAATTGTTACCTGTCAAACAGGTAAATGAGGCTCTTGGGCCAAGTCCAAACAAGCACATATTCCCACCAAATCTTAAATTTGCAAAACTTTAACTTTTCTGCAGCCCTACTGATGGTTTTCCCTGAGACTAATCAGAAAGTATGACGGGTGGAAAAAAAGCTCAGCGTTTGGCTGTTTGTTGTGACGAAGCTCTCCTACACGTCGATACCTGCAGCAGGGCACAGCAGGCACCCAATGCACACGGTGTGTGCGATGGCTCTCACACTACACGAGCAGCCTTCCAAGATCACAGAATGCTCTGCTGATCCCAAAACGGCATCTGGATGGTGAAGGGATTAATATGTACAAGCTCTGGGGGCTGGAAAAGTGAGTGTGCATGCAGCCTGGAGCCACGTGGGAGGGCTGTGAACTGGCATTTCCTGCTCCATGCACCCAGTTCAGACTTGCTCTGCTGACTGCAGCAAGAGGGTCTGTGCTCCCGGGCGCAGGCAGCGGCCTGTTACAGTCGCACAGTCTGTGAAGATGGCTGATGTTAGCTTCCTGCAAGGCCACAGAGGGAAAATGGTGCCAACCAAGCTGCTCCCACCTAAAGCTCACTCCTCGTGTCTGCCTCTGCAGAACAGACGTTGCCCTGCAGAAGCATTCACAAGCAGGCAGCCTGCTCTTGCGGTAATACATTTCACGTGCATCTGCGTCAAAGTGCACTGAAAGAAAACCCCACAGCTACAAATCCCATTAAAAACAGTGCAGGTGTCACTGCTTTTCTGTGCCCCCCTCTTGCAGGCTCCTGGCTTGGACTGCAGGCTCTCTGACCAGGGCCGTGGTGCCACATACCCCACACACCTGATACTACCTGACGGCGTTTCTGAGCCCGTAATGTGACAGCTTCACCTGCATGGTGCGTTGAGACCCTCAGCTGTCAGGGCCTACCTGACAAAGAAAGAGGGGAGAGTAAATGGTAGAAACCAGTTGTTACTGGTAATAACAGAAACATGATCTTCCCAGCAAGATGGCAATCTTCCCCCAAAAAGGCCGCAGTACCTCCATGGTACACCTGATTCTGACCTGTCTCTCAGCTCAACTTTATCCCAGTTATACCAGAATGCTCGGATCTCCCAGGCGTTGCCTCAGACTGTAGGTGAATTCTACTTTGGAAGTAACCTGGCAAAAGCAGTCATTAGACCACTAGAAAAGCAAATGGTTTTTTACACTTTATTTGAAGATGCACTTATATATTTTTCAACTTAACAGCAGCTCTGGAATGAAGTTTAGCACTGTTTTTTTGGAACAGGCTAATGCTTTAAACTGATTTTTATTTTTTCTTAGCTGATATGAGAACAGCTGCATTTGCACAGCTTCAGCTCAGCCCAGCACCTTCCCTAAATGGCACGAGATTTGCTCAGAAGAGATCCTGAGAGTTACAGCTGTGGTACTGGGTTTCAAGGCGCTGAGTTGAGCTCTGGGCTCCTGCAGACCCAGTGTGTCATGCACAGATTCCTATAGAAATTAGGAACTCCTCTGCAGTTTCTTCTCTATGGTTCTCTCCTTTTCTTGACTTGGGATTCTCCTTCTTTTCAACTCACAGCAGGTAAGCAGCTGTCTGATCTGCTCGTTGCTTCTTGCCAGGCTCTGGCACAGAGTGCCTTTCCAGCCTGCAGCCCTGTCACTGGCTTCCTACGCTGTATGGGTTGCTGCACTCTGTATCTTCACGCTACTACTGTCCAGCAGTGCCTGAAACCATTACTAATGGTTCCCAAAGGTATTTTGCTTAAAATAAAAGGGAAGATACCTTAAAAGATACAACGCACTGCTGCTTAAAAAACACTGTGTGAAAGCTGACAGCTGTATTATTACTAATACCCACCTAGAATCAGTTAGAAATACCTTGGCCAAAAAATGTTATTCCTGTGTATCTCATTTCTATTTTGACAAACGTACTGAACGATGAGCATGATTTCAGCAATCTGTTGCTCCACAAAGGCTATTAGGACTCCTAGAGCAGCTGGGTTCTCTGGGCTGCCCTGCAAGCCAGGCAGCTTATCCACAGCAGAGGTGGCTGCCTGGGGCTGTTGTCTCTCTTTTCCCTAAGGATTTTGTGAGGGGGCAAAATAGCTTGAAATCTGAGGTTTCTTTCAGACCTATAGAAGAACTTCTGTGCCTACAAGTCTGTTCGCTTTTCACAATCCTCTTCCCAGATCACCAGTTCTACAACATAGCTGCTAGGGATCCCATGTAATAGTGACAGGACAAGAGGTAATGGCCTTAAGTTGTACTGGGGAGTAGGGGTCCAGATTGGATATAAAGACAAATTTCTTCTCAGAAAGAGTGGTGAGACAGTGGCTGCCCAGGGAGGTGGTGGAGTCACTGTCCCTGAAAGTGTTGAAGAACCATGGAGATGTGGCACTGAAGCACGTGGTCAGCAGGCATGGGGGGATGGGCTGGCAGTTGGACTGGATGATCGCAGTGGTCCCTTCCAACCTAAATGATTCCATGATTTAGCTTTTTCTCAGCAGCTGGAGAAGAGAGTTAGCTGTCTGGAGGGCTGGTCAACCAGAGGATTAAGGAAACCAGGCTACAAGCGCCCATCTGCTGATTGCCAGAAGAGCAGACTTAAGCCACCAGCCCATGCGCTGCAGGTCAATGCCTACCAGCACGGGTTCTTCACATTACCTGCTTCTGACTTCAGCTTGTGCAGAACAGCATTAGTCAGAGCTGGCAACACAGGAAAAAAAGCTTTCTAGCTCCTCTAAAGCTTACAAGTGAACCTTCCTGCCATTGCTGCTTGGTGTCTTTGTGAAGTGCAATACTGGTTGATTTAATTGAGAGGGTGTGTAACTGTAAACACAGCTTTAAACTGTTGTTTCAGATTTGAAAAAGTAAATGTGAGGACAAGGAAACATGCCCTTCCAGAGAGTTCCAAAACCAGCATTCCCAAATGAAAGTATAAATGAAGGATTCTCACCAGCGGGAAATAACTGAGCAAAATAGATGCACCCCTCATTAAACAAAGCCCTGATTAGTTCAGTGCTGGCAGTGATGCACTGATTTGTACCATTTTGCAAATCTTTCTTTTTCCACAGGCCGAGCCCTTGGGTTCACATAACACAGGCACATTATTTGAAGAACTCTTTGATTCTTCAGTTGTACACCAAGGAACAAATTGAGAGGGAAATACCGGGATGCTGACAGATTATATATTTTTTAAATGTCATGATTCTAAAGCACCGTGCGAGTGCGCACTCACTGCAGAGTCCAAAGTAGAGGTTGAGGCTCAGGGTCTGCAGAGCGTGTTCCCTCATCTGCTGCAAACATGACATGAAAGAGGTAAAAAGTCACATAAACTTGTGCATGTGTTAAAAAGCGAGGGGAAAAAGAGCTCAGGCCTCAAATGCCTTTATGTTTGCTGTGGCTCAAGACACAGCAAGCATCTTTGACATTGCTTCTGTGCATTATGGGAGAGCTCGTTACACTGCTAACACTATGTTATCTTCCTACCATCACACTGCCTGCTGCCCACAGCAGTTTCTTTATTGCTGGTATCAAGGGCAAGAACTGATTGCACGGGCAGAGGTGCCTGTGCTCGGGGTGAAATAGCTCCTAGCCACTAATTAGCCGCTAATCCTGTGCACCGAGGTTCCCACAGACCGTGAGGGCTTCCTTTGGTGACTTTTCAATTAGCATCATAACACCCCGAGCTTTGAATGCTTTGTGTATATTTATCTTTGCTCCCAATTGTCAGGGCCGGCCAACGGGAATTAAACCAATTTAACAGCATCTGTGTGTCTATCATTTGGCAGCTATTAGCCTAAATTGACATAATCTTCCTCCCTGCTGAGAGATAGATACATTTATATTAACCTCGGTGTGCCTTGCTAGGATTCTTCCACAGAACATGCGAGAAATCGTGCAGATACCGCTAGGAAAGTGGAATTTCAGCAGGTACAAGAGACAAATCCCCTTACGGTACCGCTAGCGGCAGCAAGCTGGGCTGGCCGAGACAGGCAAGCGTTGCTACTGGTTACTGCCCCATAGTTGGTGGAATGTTAACGACCGCTTTGTCATACCGAGGGCACCTAACAGCCATCCCATCCAGCTCAATAGGCACCGCAGCCCAATTCCGTTCAGCGCAGCCCAGGGCTGCGGCCGGTGCAATTCCCTGCATTAACAGACACTCCCTGAGCAGAGGCACTTCAAAGCACCCTCCTCAGGCTCAAAAGGCTCTCCCCATCCCGGTACGATGGGTTGTTTACACTGAGGTAATTGTCGTGTGTGTAACTGGCCTGAGAAGATGCTCAGATATCCTCGGTCTCCCTTCCCCTCTCCTAGTCTTGTTTGGAAGTTCTGGAACCCAAAGGGAACAACAGAGGGGAAATCCTGCCTATCTGCCCCCATCTTGCCAGGCTGGGTTCTGAGGGCCAAAGCACCTGCTTTAACCCCAGGCACAGCCGACAGAGCTTGAGCCAGCCCTACAACCACTTCCAAAGCACAGAACAGTGATGCAGTGCAAAGGACAACTCAGAACGACCGACATTCTTCATAGCACTGTCATAAAAACCAGGAACGTCTTCTATACACACACCTCTGGAAGGAAAGATGGCCATTTAACCTGCAATGTAGAGAATACCTTCTTGACTGGATAGCTGCTCTCATTCATAGACTTCTATGAAACTCGGTGGCTTCACTGGGACTGTGGCGATGCAGTACTGTGCATCTGCAGAAATTCACTGCTACTCCAGCCACTGGAGGAGGCTGACAGGCTCAAAGAAACAGCTGCTGCTGCAAGAGCCGTGGGTGATGCTATATCTCTGCAATGCCAAGAGACATCACATGAGGCAGCCACATGTCAGACTGGAAGAGAAGAACTGGGCTGGGTGAATGCTGCAATTAAATCCCCATGCTTACACCTGTGAGGCTTTCATTCATCCCAAGCAGAAAAGGCTGCTTTTCATGAGCTTTCACAACTGCTAAAACTCAAAGCTAAAACCGAATTACACCAAAAAGAGGTGGGTCTGCCCTACAACTCCTGTTCCCTTGCTTTTGTTGTCTCCATCACTCCCACGCTTTGGGAATGGAGTTTTACAGGGTCAAACCAGCCTACTTACTTGCCTGAAAACTAACCCTACTGAAAGCAAAGACAAAACAGTTCTCTGGAGGGTGAAAGAGCAAGGTTGCTGATATGACAGAAGAGGGAAGAAATGCATTCTCTAGGGTAAGGAGAAAGCTCCTTTGGGTAGTCACATATTCTTCCACTAAGCAAAGTCAACCTGTGGAAACTGGAATGCTTTCTACCTACTAGACCTCCCAGAAAAACCAATGCTTTGCTCAACTTCATTGTAAGAAGGGGGATTGAAGCATGTTGTTAACAGGACATTCTCATCCCTTACCTTACAAACCAGGTTGCAGGTCAGCCAGGTGACAGGACCTTCTGGCATTCTCCTGTGTGCTGCTTTTTTCCCAAGTTGCTGCATGTTCATTACTGTGACCTTGGGGCTATCAGGGAAATCCCCATGACTTCCTGCTCCACTGTGCTGTGGTGCCAAGCTCAGTGCTTAATGTCTACACTTCATACAGGAGAGAAATAATGATGAGAAAGTAAAACCTTGGTGGAGATGGACTCCATTCTGCCTGGGGTAAGACCTTTCCTTGAAGCCAACTACAACATTGCATCATCAGCTGTCCTGCATAAATACTGGTGTCAGCTCAGAGTTATCCATGCAACATTTAGATTCAACCTGTGTAGCACAGAGGCTAAACCAATTGGCTCTGATAAGACAAGATGAAGGCATTTGCATTTAAAATCCTACATTTCACATGTGGATTGTCTATTTAGTGAGCACTGTTCATTCTGAATTCTTTCCCTTTGCACTCTATCTTTGTCTTTGCTATTGATTTAAGCTAAAAAGGGCAAGGTCAGGCTGAAAAAAGGCACTATGCACTCTGTCAGGGAGGCTACAGGAGGCTGAGGCGGTGCTTTCAGCGAGCAGTCAGTTAGGGCTAAGAATCTACAAGGCACTCAATGCTCTGGCGCTAGTTTGTCCAAACATGTAGGCTCTGCCTCTACAGTTTAAAAATAAATGCATTCTAAACTGAAGAACTTGCTGGTTTCAGTGAGAATGCAGGCATAATTTCGAGGAGTTGGGCTGAAGCATTTAGCAAACTACCTGTCTGCCTCTGGCACCAGCGTGAGAGATGGGCAAGGGCTACTGAATTCCTAGTTCTGCAGATTCTTCACAAAACCTTTGGCAAGTGTGTTGCTCAAAAACCTCACGTACAAAATGGAGAGGTGCTGCACCTACCTCCTAATGTCTGCCCCGTGCTCCTCCTTCGAGAGCTCCACAGGTCAGGAACTGTCGTGGACAGCTGGTATCTGGGTCAGAACTTGAGCAACTTCACCAAAGCTTGAGCAACTTCATCCTGATACCAACCCGTGTCTCTGCCCCGGAGCACAGAGCCTGCAGGCTGTCAGCCTGGCCTCCCTCTCACACAGGTTTACTGGAATGACACCGCCAAAACGTATGAGTTTTGCCTCCCTTTCCAGGCAGCTCAACTGTGGTATTAATTAGGAGTGATTTATACTCCCAGCAATGGTAAAGCAGAGCTCATCTTCCCCTGAGAAGTTCTAGTAATCAGAGCGAAGTTTATAGTGAAATAAAGAGCAACACACATATCTTACTCCCTCCCTACCCTGCAGGGCTATTGCTCATGTGTGGGAGCTCAAGAAAAAAGCAGTAAAGAAATGTAAATGTAAATCTGCCTGCTTTGCCCCTCACACCCAAGCACACCATATAAACAAACAGCCACTGCCAGGTACTCTGTTTTCTAGTCAAATAAAGAGAAACAAATATTCAGCATCTCTGTGGCTGGAGCCATACAAAACTTCTTCTCCTTGCTTAGGAAGAAGCTAAGATTTCCATCCACTTGGGAAAAAGGAAAAAGAAATAAAAATGTAAAGAAAAAACACAGCTGTTGTAAATCCTGCTATTAAAGAAGGAACTCAGAGAAACAAAGGTAAGGTTAAAAAGCAGCATATGCCACAGTCATGGGACACAGCCAAAGGAGACAGAATAAGCTCCGAACTCCAGTCTGTTAAAACACAATATGAAAATCAATACTAGTTTGGGCAGCATAATAATGCACACAGGTAACAGTGACAGTGTGAAAGCAAAATGAAGTACAAAAGAACTTGGGACCTGCATGTCTCACTATGCTCCATGAGCCAGCTCCCGGTCTGTCTCTCCCAGCACAGAAGCGCAGGACAGGACAGAGCAGTCAGCACATCTCCCTGTCTGGCAGGGCAGCTCCAGCAGCAGAAATCTACTTTCACAGCAGAGACTTAGCAGTGATAAAGCAGGCTTGTAGGTGCATGCAGGGCGTGTGCGCTGTACAAACACGGTACTGCTGAGATGCTGCGCCTGATAGTGCAGGCTGATGGAGTGACTGCACGCATCTACAACGGGGGTCTTCCCCACACCACAGCTTGAGCTGATCCTTGAGGCTCCTGAGCAATGAAGAACCAAACTCAGACAGCAGAGAAGGACAAAGATTATGTTGACAAGCTCTGAGCCTACACTGCCCCAAAGCCTGATGGAGTAACACTACATACTCACAATACTGGCTTTATATTTATGAACGAGATCAGTGGGACTGCTTTCTTCTGCAACATTGCTCTATTTCAAACGAGAACGACAGCAAATAGCAGAAGGACCTATGCCTGTCTGTAAAGGTGCTTTAACATGAACAGAGACAAGTGGCCTAGTGACCCTTCCATAGAACAAGGCACAGCAGAGATCTCTTGGCTCCAGCAGGGGCTCCTTTTGTGCCACCAGACCCCTTTGTCCTCTGCCACAGGGACAACTGAGCAGCAACCTCAGGGCGATCAGCCCCCGCCTTTTCTCAGCAAGCCTGGAAAGCTGCTTTTCCATTCCCTGTGATTCTTTAAGCACCTTGCTACTTGATTAAGGCATCGATTCATTTTGAGGAAGAAACACATTACTTCTAAGCAAATCCAAAGCTTTGTTTCCAGCTACCATTACCCTGATCAGAAGTGCTTCTGTGGAATCTGTGCTGAATTTACTCTAGTTTCCGAGTGTGGGAAAAGTAAACAAGCAATTGTTTATATCCCATCCTTCACCGTCTGCACATTGGAACACCAGAGCCTATTTTAGGACATACCGTTGGAGCAAGAAGAGATGCACTCTTAATCAGCTTTTGACTGCCTCTTATTTCAGGATGGGGTGACAGATCCGTGGAGCTTCTCTGTTTTTTAAAAACACTCAACGGATGCAGAGACATATGAAGCTCTCAGAGATGTGATCAACATGTGAAAACCTATTTCAGATTCCTTTCAAATGATGCTCTGCAAATCATAATGATTCAAGACAGACTGATGAAGGAAGGCTGGGAGCGGAAGCCCCAGCAGCCAATGCAGAGAGCCATTCCTGCTCCCCTGTGAGAGCCCTTCAGCAGGAGCAACCATCCATCCAATTGTTTGTTCAACTGTGTCACTGAAAAAAAGAAAAAGCAGCTTTTAATTATGAAAATAAAGATGGCTTTCAAAGTACTACTGCTGACAGCCAACCAAAAAAACCCAAGCATACAACACACTACGCGTGTTCAATGAGCAATTCAAGGGGAAAAAAAACGATAGACAACTATTAGGACAATTTTCTTCTGACATACCTCAAGAACTCTTCACATCATAAACAAACTATAAGCATTTCACCTTTCTCCCCAGACAGCTCAAGTTGGGATTACTCAAGATGTGTCTGTGAAGCTGCAGATTTGTTCTGTGATGATGGAGAGATCTGGTGACTATCACAAGAAGTCGGACAAAGCATCACGAAGATGCACTCGATATTCTTCTCGGAGGTCAGGTTGTTTATGTCCCACAGCTCTACCCCATTGTGACACAGTATCAATTTCAGCTTAATTAAGGTATTTCCGAGTCCCAGGTCCCACAGCACATCAAGCTGTCTTCCAGAGATGTTTTCTTATTCTTTTTCAGGCAGAGTTTTTCACTAAAAGCAAAACCACAGCCATTAGGTGACCTAATCGTAGTTTCCCCTTGTCTCAAAACGCTTGGCTGAATCACTGGAAAATGCTATCAGAGATCAAAGCATCTGCAGAAAAGCTATCCCTGTGTATTACATTCTGTTGAATTGGTTTCAAACTGGTGAGTAACCTTTATGAAATGGATTGGTACTACTAATCAAGAAGCTAATATTCCAGTCTACTGTCAGACTTAGCTACCTCCTCAGACGTCTCCATGTCTCAACCCAGAAAGGAGTGCCACACTGAGGTATTTTCACCACTAAAAATGACTTCTGTTTTAAGTTGAAACAAGGTTCTGTGTGCCATACTGCCTAAGACAGGCATTGCAGATATGTAGGATATTTACATAATAACTCTGGCATCTTTCAGAATCATGAACTCTATGCTCATAATGAGCAAACAAAGCCCCCCCCTTTTCTTCTTACATGGTTCCATGTTGCTCTGAGGGCTCTGTAAGACACGCAGATCAGCATTTCAGATAGAAGTGGCATGTGCAGCCCCATGCTCTGCCCTGTGGCCAGAAGTGCTCCATCATAGAACCAGAGTGGCCTGGGTTGAAAAGGACCTCAAAGATCATCTAGTTTCAATCCTCCTGCCCTGGGCAGGGTCTCCAACCACTAGACCATATTGCCCAGAGCCACACATTCCATGGTCCTCTGTGCTGCTCAACTGCTGCTGCCACGCATGATGTGGAGGCATTGGAGAGCTCCAGGTTCTTATGAAGATCCCAGCTGAGCTGTCTGGGAAGTGCAACTGGCAGTTTCCAGGCAGCAGGTAGTTGCCACTAGTCACAGAACCTTCCATCCTGATAGCACTTCCATAGTTTCATTGTGAAACAATACAAGTAACGTGCTGTTACGATTTTGGTTACTTAGGATTACTTTCTTTATGTTAGATGCTAATAGTGTAGGATAATCCATTATCAGAACATACAAGCAATCCATTTGGAGTATAGGAGACCTGCACTAAAATCTATTTATTTTGATGTACGTGACGGCGTCATTGAAGTCAGTTGAAGATCAAGGTCTGTACAAATTCCAGTAAATGTAGTTTCACATAGAAGATAACTACAAAGGGAGGGCTATGGGGAGGATTAACAGTAAATGCGTTACAAAATTAGTAGGTAGGTGGTTGGCTTTGAACTTACTGCAAGAGAGCATTTTATATCAACAGCCATCAATTACAGAGAAACACACAAATAAAAATACGTGGTAATCACTGCCTACTGCAAACACTTGTTTTCAAACACCTGCGCTCTCACTGAGCTGCCTTACAACGCTGTTTTGACATAAATACTTCTCTAACATCTTTTATCAGACAGACTTCTTTTAATAGTCTTCTGAAAGATATTTTAGGTACTTACTGCAATTAGTAAGCTGAGCTGAACCTTGTTTGTGCACCCTACTTCCTCTGCCCAGTGCTGGCAAGTCCAAACAGCGCTGATGCTGGCTGCTATGGAACACATCATGTAAACACAAGGTAGATGGTTGAATGCTACACTGAATCCTTGCAATAACAAGCAAGCAAAAAAAAAAAAAAAAAAAAAAAAAAAAGAAAGAAAAAAGAAAAGGAAAAGAAAAAGAAAAAGAAAGCAAGAAACACCCTACCGGCTTCTATGCAAACAACATGAAAAAGTGATCTGGTCTTTTAGATTGTTCCTGTACACTCCAAAGACAACTCCTAGATTCATAAAAATGTATTGCATGACCATTTTATTTTTGGCCTATACGGCCTTTATTCTATGAGAAGCAAGACTGGCCTGGCCTGAAATAACATTAGATGATTTTTTCAGTGACTAACAGATTAATTATAACAATCCTGGAGCTCATGAAGAATGAGCACCGGGATGGATGAGACAGGACCTGTTTGACCTGCTCAGCTGGACGCTCACAATTGAATTCAAGTTTGCAGTCTGGAACGAAAGGCTTATCCAGAAAATGATGAGCCCAATGTCTGCTATCTACTTAAAATAATTTTCAGGGTACATTTTTCACCTAAGCAAGTCTCAACTAAATAAGCTGTCATCTTCAACAACCTCAAATCAAAAGTTCATTACTGCATTTTCCACTTCTGTTCCTCACTTTGACCTTGAACACTTCTGCAGCCATTGAGCAGCAATTCAGTCTCCCAACTGCTACACTGGAAGCAATCCCACCTGAGAGCAGGCTGCTAAAGGCGGTTTTGTAGCTGACCCAGGACTAGAACAACAAATTCCATTTCAGTCTGAGTTACAGTTTGGGCTTGGTCCAGGACTGCAGATGGCATCAAATGCTGTTTTCTTCCCTGCAAAATCGTACATCAGCAGCATTGCTAACTTGGGGAAGGTGACATTTTCAAAGGTGCTCATTGCTGATCCTCCTTTCCTTTTTCCTATACATTTCAGAGAGGGAAAAAAAAAAAGTGAAAGCCACACATCCAAACGTTTCCCATAATTTGAAAAAAGTAAAAAGGGAAAGAGGATACCTGAATTGAGGTTAATCCTATTTACAGCACTCAATTAGGTAGCCTTTTCAGGTCTCAAAAGCCTCTTTCAACATAGTATCAATATTTGTGAATGAAATCTTATCATTTCTGCAGTTAGTCGTAAGGCTTCATTAATTTAAACCATGATAGGATTCCCATTATTCCTGCAGAACAGGTCACAGTACCTCATGATAACGTGTCTGGGAGGCTCAACTTGTTTTAAGATGACACAGTAATTCTTTATACAAAACAACTGCACTATTTGTAGTGAAAAAATTACTCGTCTTCTTTGCTTTGCAAAGTCTTACAGCTTCCTCAAAATGTATTCTATAAACTGACTTATACAGGCATTGTTACGAATAACGGCCTACAAACTGAGAAGTTCAATACTAGAATTTGCTATCCACAATTCAGGCCACATTAGCAACTTTTGATGGGATTTACAGATTGCATAATGATTCTTCTTTCCTGTGACTGAAAATTAAGGAAGGCTAAGTAATACTTTGTCCAACCGTCAATAATCTAGCTAAACTACATTTCTTATTCTGTTAAGTTAAAAACATAACAGGGAATCTGGGAGAGGGACCTGAATAGATGATCTTTCAAGGTCTCTTCCAATCCTTGACATTCTGTGATTCTGTGATCTTCATGGGACTACGCTTGAGGCTGACTTAAAACTGAGCTATATTGATTTGGCTTCATTTGGTTGTTACTATGAACACAGGCAAAAGCTGAGAAATAGTAACAATCATTTGTGCCTGACTGTGATACAGTAATATCAAAGACTTTAAAGCGTCAGTCTTGATTTCCACTGCATTGAAAGAGGATCAGACCCCCAGAATGCAATTCTGTGAGGTTACAGACACACATTCATAGACAAGCATACTGAAGTTGCTCTGAAAGTAGTGCTTCCTATTTATTTCCACGGAAACTACAACACAGAATGATAACACTATTTTATAGAGCAAATTCTCAGCTACAAAACGCTATTTTTCAACACAGTCACCACCAGTAGCTGATCCATGTGGATGAGCTGGTTGAAACACTCTTCTTTTTGTGGGCTGACAGCTGTGCATGGCCATCCAGAATGTGGCTTTCACGTCATTGCTGAAACGCACCACCTACTGCCTCCCTGTGCTCACATCCACTGCCAGCAGGTGCCATTTTTTCTGCCTAAAATGGCAGAAAACCCTAATTCCATACCTTTGCTTCATATGAACTTTCATGTCAGACACCATTTGTCAAATTGCCCTTCTGCTGCTATCTGCCACATAGCAAAAACACATAATGGATATTGGTGGGAAGGCTCAGCCTCTACTGCCATGCCAACATCCATATCTGATGCTGTGGCCCAACAAAACAAAAAATTAAAAAAAAAAAATAAAAAATCACAGAATCAAAAATAGGAGGCATTACTTTTGGAGCAGCCCTCACACTTGGTTATACAGATGCTTATTTCTGCGGGCACCTTTCTGCTCTGTCCTCACCAGCCGAAACGAAAGGTAGAAAAATCCTTCTGCTAGGCCAGTATAAATTCATTCAGCTACTTAACTTTCCTGCAAAGGTCACCGTGCGATATAACGGCCCATTTACCCTCTATGCAGCACTATTTGTAAGGCAGAGATGAAGCCCAGGAAGATCCCCGAGGTGAGGATCCGGGCGGGATGCCGACCTGCCCCACTGGGGGCACAGCGACAGAGCGCAGGCGCTTCGTTTTCTTCTCCGGCTTCCGAGCTGACCCGAGGAGCCCTCTTCCTACACTTCCCCACCATCGGATGACAGCCGCCGCCCCCAGAGCTCCATCCGTCCTTTCGGACAGCACCGAGGCGCCGGCGCAGCGCACAGTTGCTCGGCAGCTCCGCGCTGTGAGCGCCGTGCGGGCGCCGGGAAGCTGCTGCGGGCAGCCGGGACTCGACCGCCCGCGCTCAGACCGCGCAGCAACGGGGGCGGCACCGCCGAGCCCAGCCGCTCCCGGCTGAGACGGAACCGTCGGAAATAAGCCAACCGGCAATAAAACCCCTCCAAACCGACCCCAAACCCCCGTCCCACGAGGAGCCCGGCTGCCGACCGCTCCCCGAAGGCCGCGGCGCCCGCCGTCGGCAGCCACCGAGAGGCCGCCACCTGCCCGAGTCCCGCCGCCCCGTCACGCCCGGCCGCCCGCGAGGCCTCCCCTCGGCCTCGGCCGTGCCGCCTGCCAGGGGGCCGCCACCCGAGCGCCAGCGCGGCGCCGGCCCTCCCCTCGCTCTCTCCCTTCGCTCAGCGGCGGCCCCGCGGTGCCTCCCGGCGCGGCGCGGCGCGTTACCTGGAGCTCGGCGGCGCCGTACCTGCGCGCCTCTTCCAATGGCAGCGCACCTGCCGCCCGCCCCGCCCAATCAGCGCGCGGCTCGGCCCTCTGCCCCGCTCCTTTAGTGAAAGAATCCGACGCCGCTCGGAAAGTTACCTGCGCGCGCCCGGCCCGGCCGCTCTCCGCGCCGCTCCCCACATGCGAGGGGGAGGGGGCTGGGGCCGTACCTGCGCGGCGCTGCGCTGCCCCGGCGGCGGAGCGGGGCCAGGGGGGCACGGCAAGCAGAATTACCTGTAGCTCTGGTTCTGCCGCGCCGGGCGTTCGCGCGCACCTTCACCTGCACAGACCTGAAAGTCCAGTTCCACCGGGGAGACCGAGCGCCGGGAAAGGGGAGCGAGTTCATTGGAGCAAACATGTCACAAGAGACGGACAAGTAAGTGCGCCCGGCGCGGCCCGACCGGTTGGGTGTGTTCCGCCGGGCCGAGCGACGCGCGGCGCCCGCCGCTCCGCAGCGTGCGGATCCGGTTTGGTTTGTTTCGTTTCTGCCTGACTTTAGTCTTTTTTT